AAGAAATTGTCTGCAAAATTCTACAATTGGCCAAGGAATCCTACGTATGGTTACCACGATTACAACAGGAATGTTGTGGAAAAAAAGCTACGACGATGTTTTCAATAGAAAGTCCTTTCCAATCAAAAAATGTGAAGACCGAGAATCTAGGGGGATTTAACTACGTGAAAACTTGTAAAAAATGATATAAACGCGCACGAAATTGTTACATTCACCAGAGAACTTGCATGATTCCACTCAGTTGACCAGTTCCGTATTAAAACAACATGCGCGAACTTGTGCGAACTTGTGCGAACGCGCGCGAGTTCGTGTGTAAATATGAAGCTGGACGACGCGCACACATCAGTCGTTCCATTTATTACATCTGGATTAACTTTTTCTTCCAACACTTTATCCAGCTCATTAAAAATATTTCCTTTGTTCATTTTATAATTATATAAATCTTTGAACTTTTGGAAAGGATGTGAAAAATCTTTATATACGTAAACAACCGATCTTTAGTTTGAAACGCGTTTTAGTTGTCAAATAACAACTTGAAAAACGCGCAAAACCATAAAAAAACTTGTGTGAACTTGTGACCGTGCACGTCAGTACGTACAACGAACGCGTCGATCTTCCGCGAATCAAGCAAACTGGCAGAAAACATGCTGCACTTGTAAGAGTTGAATTCCCCTAGCCGAGAATGGGTTTAAAAAAATTTCATTCAATAAATTCAGTGAAAGTTCATTCAGAAAATGGAGATAAACTGATGGTGTTCCACACTTGCCAATTATAAAGGAAATTTCGAATAAAGATGGCACTCGTTAAGGGCAGTGCTAGGGGCATTTCTCACGAAAAGAATGAATGAATTCTTATCAATTTTGAAAAATTTCTTCCGTTCGGTCCGATTCGATCAATTTTTATCTATTCGTGTAAATAAATGTTCATTTACACTGAACTTGTGTTCTGGATGTGGGTTTTGGTGGATCTCAAGGATCGTTCAGAACTGCTCCCGGTTCTGGAAGTGGATCTTCAGGATGGACCAGGGCATTGTCAAACCGGATCTGGTCCATCCTGAGGATCCACCAAAACCCACTTCCAGAATCGGGAGCAGTTCCAAACGATCCTTGAGATCCACTGAAACCTACTTCCAGAACACTTTTATTCAAGCAATATCGTCATTTCAGTACATTTTCTTACAATTTCAATAGAAAAGAAGAAATAATAGACATTTTTGCACATTTGCTCAAATTTTTTGTGTGAGAAATGCCCCTAGGGGCAGTGCTAAAAATCGAATTGAATGCGATTCAATGGGGAATGCTCAAAAAATGATTGAATTTCATAAAGAATCCTATTTCGATGGCTTGAAACTTGACCAATTATTTTGTACACTCATATGATCAAGTAAATACATAAATTAAAAAACAGCAGAACAAAAAGTGATGAGATCATTGTTTCGGAATACTTACGCACAACTACTAGCAATTACCTTGAAAAATGTCTTCAATGCAAAATATTGACGACTTCAGCCATAATGGGAAAAAGTCTTGAAATTTTCGAGAGCAAAAAAATTCATTCATAAAAAATGTTTGTTTTGTCGTGAAAACGCAACGGGATGCTAGTGCTCTTTAAACTTTCTTGCCGGTTTTAATTAGATTGATGAAAAATTCATGAAGTAACCGTCCGGAAGGCATCAGCTTAATCGGTCGATTTCTCAGGCTAAACAGCAGCCCTCTAAAGAAACAAAACAACAACAACATTGACGACGACGACGACGACGATGACGACGACCATACAATAGTTTGACTAGATCTGGTCTATTGTTTCTGCGCTTCGGCTGATTGTTCCAATTGTATTTAAATACGGTGGCTGATTTACCCTCCTGCCGGGAACAAACTACTTACCATCGCCACTAAATCGATAATATTTTTTCTCGTTTAATGAGAGATCGCCGAGAGAAAACCCAAACACAATACATCGTATACGAGATCAGGAATCAGTAGCGGTCGTCGTCGTCGTCGCACACATGAGAAAAGCAGGACCCGAAAACCAATGAAACAAAACACACACACGCACGGCAAGGAAATGAAAAAAAAACAAATTACTTTGCACGGTATTGTGTGGTTGTTTTTCGATGTGCTGGGATTTCTTCATCGCTTTCGGTGCGTGTGTGTGTTTTTTTAAGTAAGCAAATTCTCACGTCGATAATAATCGCACGACAATAATTGATGTATTGCTGTGTTTTATTCGGGAGTCTGAAAATTAAAGAGAAAAAAAACCACTCGAACTAAGATGAAGAAACACACATAAACATGATCGGTTTTTAGACACACGTACACGTAACTTGCAGCATTCAATTGTCGCATGGAATATTTTCTTTTGTTGATGTCTTGGCTTCGTCGTGCACCGCATGCCGTGCACCGCTGCTGCGACACAGACCCATTCATTGTTGTTGTATTTCGTTCGCTTTTCATTTTCGGTGGAAATTTTCAAATGTACACATTAATTGCAAAGATTCCGATTCTGTTTGACTTCTTCCCATTCAGCGCGTTTACTAGCTCGTTCACTCACTCTCGCTCCGTTCAATCCGTACAAAAGACTCCGCGTTTCTTTTGCCATACTCATTTTTTTTCTCTTCTGTCATCATTCGCTGCGCGATTATTAAATAACTTTTTTTTTCCTTTTTTCTCCTTCTTTGACTTTTCTTCGTGCAATTGTTTGGTTCCATTTTTTTTCTCATTACTATATCAACCCCGACGCGCACTTCTCAACTGTTTGCAGCTTTTATGTTCCGTGGCCTTAATAACGGGTTCAACATCGTGCACTCGCGCTAAAAACAGCATCAATTTTTGAGCTCGAGCAATTTCGCAAAACGAGTGAAGACAGACAGAGAGGGCGAGAGAGACTGGAGAGAGAGAGAGAGAGAGAGAGAGAGAGAGAGAAGTCGATTTCGTGCATCGAACGAAAATTGTGCACTTTTGTTTAACGACAACGATCATTTCGATCGGCAGTATCGAAGTCTAATGGGATGAAAACGCGTTTTGTTTCAGCCGATTCCGAACAATGACTCCTAGTGATTGATACGCGTTCCGTTTTATCGTTCGTTTGTGTTTTTCTCAGCGAATTGCATTTGTTTTTTTTTCTTCTCTTCGTCATGTCATTGTTCAGCTGAAACAATGTCACCGTATGACATTCTTTTTTTCTACTCTCGGTTTGTCGTCATTCGTTTTAATTTGAAATAATTTTGTTGGAATAATTTTTGCATTTTTGATATATGATGTGAACAATAAATTCACATTACGGCACAGCGTAGCCCTGGGTCCTTTTGTTGTTGCAAGTGATCGCTTTTTCGATGCTTCTAATTACACTCGTGCAGCGTGAATTCATTAAAAAAATGATTGAAACAAGTGCAGCGATGACGGAAATTCCTGTTTGCCCAGAGAAATGCATTCAATCCAGCTGTGCCAACCTTTCTTCGACATTGCAATCAACTTAATGGGAACTTTTCCTCGAACCCTGTTCGACTCTGAGAATTTTAATCTCTTAGTTTCTTAACGCAAAAACTCGTTTCTGACACGACTTTTCTCTTTTTCAATAATTCGAATTAAAAAATTTCTCAGTTTGACTCGCGTGTTTATTGTCAAATCGCTTTTGAGTACAACAATTTTGGTTTCATTTGCTCTAAAATCTGAACAAGTTTCGTATTCAATTGATAATTTCGTGCATAGCCATTGTTGTTCGATCAATATTTCGTGTCTGAAACTCACAGTATTCGAAATTGAAATCAATTTTTTTTCTGACAATACGAATTTTTTCCTTCAAATAATAAAAAAATAAACAAATTGCGTCTGTTGTGAACGTGGCTTCGATTTTCCCAAAACATTCGGTTGCCATCGCAGTGCAGTTTTAAATGATTTTTTCGCATACACCGTTACACAATTTTGCCTAATTGCTGCAGCGTACGGGAAAACGAGAGCGAGAGAGAGAGAGAGAGCAAAAGCAAGAGAGAGACAGGGAAGAATGCTGCTATCGCCATGTAGATATCTACCACTTAAAAGTCCTCTCCAATACAAACATACGCCGCAGCCATGGCATTTATTGAACATTGGGGATGTCGCTTTTTATATGTTAACCGACACGAGCAGAAGAAAAAAACGCGCGCGTTTCTGAGTGAATAAATTTCATCATTATTTTACAAAGAAACAAACAACGACCCGGCGCACTGTTGCGCAACACCAAGATGGATCCTTGGCGAACAGCAGCAACAACAATAACAGTGGCTGATGAGATGAAAGTGAAGCCAGATGATATGGAAAAAACGAAAAAGAAACGAATCGACACGCATATCGAATATATTCACCGTATTCAAGCAATCAATAAATCCAATGGCAACAAAAGAACAGTCGAAATCGATTTGGTTGCCACTTGAAAACGGTCAACGATTTTCGGTGGTTGAAAATGGTTTTGCAATAGTGATTCTTGTAGGCATTTTCCGAAAAGGTTAGCAAAAAGCTGTGAAAATTGATTTGAACTTGCTTTTTCCGTGGTTATAAATAAATGCGTTTCAAAAATATAATTTTTCCAACAACTGAAGCTTTTTTTCTCCTGGTTATCAATCTTTTTGAAACCATTTTTTACTATCTCGAACACTTCAAAATCAGCAATCTACGCACTAACCAAACAATATTTTACGCATTTCGTGAAATTGAACACGAATCGCAGCGATCATGACAGAACGAAAAGCAAAATTGAAAAAAATAATTCATCGACAATGAATATAATTGAAAATGATTTGCATGAATGAGATAAAAATGGAGAAATGAACAGTGTATTTATAGAGAATAAAGGATCAAATCAAATGGAATTGACGCCATTGCACTTCAATCGACGGGCAGATAATTAATTTATTTTTCGTGGAGAACTTTTTGCCTCTCAAAAAAAGCACATAATTGATAAGCGCATTATCTGCACATTTGATTTATTTTAATATTGTGTGATTTTATTGTTTATTTCATTGGCAGAGCTAGATGTGGGTTTGCATTCGGACGAGACAGGGTCAGGTGAAGGAGAGAATTCGAATGGTGGCTGCTCGATAATTGGCGGCATCACAACTGGGGCCGATGACGATCAGGCACGATTGCGTCTCAAACGTAAACTGCAACGGAATCGCACATCATTCACCAATGAACAAATCGACAGTTTGGAAAAAGGTATGTGCCAGGACATGGTTTGGATATTCATTCCTCTTCTTGATGAAATGCATTTTCAAATCCATTTCGTTTTTCCATATACTTTTTTTCGTGTCTAAATTTCGTATTTCTTCTATTTTCGTTTAGAATTTGAACGTACTCACTACCCGGATGTGTTTGCACGCGAAAGACTGGCAGCGAAAATTCAATTACCTGAAGCACGAATACAAGTACGTTTCGAAAACTAATGACAAAATCAAATGCTGTTTAACGATTGAATGTGTCTGACATTTGAACACAATGAAAACACGTTTGCATTTTGTTGATGAGAGAAAGAGCAATTTGTTGAAATGTTGAATTTTTCTAAACTTGAATTTCCAGGTTTGGTTTTCAAATCGACGAGCAAAATGGCGTCGCGAAGAGAAGCTACGAAATCAACGTCGTACACCAAGCTCGAGTGTGAGCAGCACAGCCGGCGGTGGTGCGAATCCGGGCAGTGTTACACCAACAAATATCGGCGGTATCAATAGCGGTGTGAATGGATCCACTCATCCAGGCAGCAATACACCCATATGTAAGTGGTTTTCAATTCAAATCAATTTTGATGCGAAACAAATTGGGATGGACAATATATCGAATATGGAGGATTTTCTTTTATTTATTGTGAAAGAAACATTTCTAGAACTATCCGTTCAACTAGCATTTTAGTGATCGAGAAATCCAATTCGGACATTGGATCGTAGTTATTAATTGATTTTCAATCGTATTTTTTTTTGTAACTTTCAGCAAACGGAAACAATCACATAACTAACAGTAGTGACCTGTTGCAAAGTGGAGGCTCTGGCCTTTTGGGCAGTTCCAACTATTTGCATTTATCATCACTGTCGCCAACGCGTCTCAATTTAAACAATGGTTTTAGCAGTGCAATGAGCACCATGTATCCATCGATACATCCGTCCATGCAAATGGGCGACTCTTACAGGTAAATATTCAAACCGATTTTTCACTCTTTTTATCTTTTACAAGAACTATTTGCTGCAAAATCATTCTTTCTTTATTATTTCATTGTTCTTTAGTAAAAAAATTTGATTGAAAATGGCATTTTTTTTATTCGTCATTTAATGATTTTTAAATATAACATTTAAAAATTTGTTGTGTCTAACCACTCTTTTCTTCCTTTGGCTCAGCTTCTATAATTGTGGTTCGATGTCAGCAATGTCCAGTTTCTCACATCATCATCATACTCCGCCGTCGTCGATTGGCCCATTATCGGTTTCGCCAACACACACCGGAGCCAGTCATGGACCACCGTAAGTTATTTTTCGAAATACATTTTCGACATTTTCATAATTTTTGTCAACAAATCATATTTTTTATCAATATTGAATTTCTAAAGTTTAGTAAAAAAAAATCGAAAGTCCCGTTATGAATGCATCATGTTTTAGTTGAAAAAAATTGAGATTTGATTATACAAATAAAAAAGTGAATGAAAATTTTAACTTTAAAAATGAAAATGTGTTGAAGTGTTGAATTTTTTTATAAAACAAACGCCTCTCTATCCTCCCATATCGTTTCTACAGTTCGACGGTTTCGCAGCAATGTTTAATGCAATCGAATTCTCAGCAATCTCAGCATATGAACCGAGATTTGATATCACCGTCGCCATACCAGTGTCATATGTCGGTGCGCAGTGGCCCATTAACACCGGGCCCAAGTGTATCAGCTTCGTCATTGGCCGCGGCAGCAGCTGCTGCCTACGATTCACTCGGTCTTGTGAGCGGACCCAATTCAGGCAGCACATACAACACATCACGACACTCGCCAAGCAGCCCATCGCAAACAACATCCACCGGCGGGCTCTATTCATTTAACTCAAATTCATCGGTGCCATTTGGCTTGGCAAATTCATCAAATGGAACCGGTAAGTTTTCTTTGACTTCATTTTATTTAGTTAGTTCTCAAGTCTTTTTCCAAGTTTCAATTCGATTGAATTTTAATTTAGAATATTTTTTCATTCGTTCATAATTTCCTCATGTATGCTTCATTTTACTTTGTTCTTCTCTTTGAATAAAATCCAATCTCTTTCCCGTAAAATGTTGATGTTTAAAATCTTAAATCCACATTTTTCCTCCTAATTACAGGTTTAATTTCGCCGGGCGTATCAGTTCCAATTCCCGTTGCAATACCGGTGCAAACCACTGACATGACATCGTCAGCGTATTGGTCGCGGCTGCAGTGACCTTGGTATTAATCGAATTGAGTTAACAGCAACACTTGATTAGGTTATAAGCATAATGAGAACAACAAAAAAACACACACAAAATTGCCATTTCGATCTCTCCTGTTTTATTTCTTTAACAAGCAATTTCAGCTCTTTGCCAATGAAAAGAGTTATCCAAAACGAAAACAAAAAATAACGTTAATGTCGTTTAGTTCGACAAGAAGAACCAATTTATGAAAATTCTTTATCCTTATTTCTGTGTATACTGCGAAAGTCCCAAAGTTCAAAAAGTGATTGGCTTCACGAAGAAAGAAAAAGAGAAGATTATGCGTATGTTTCTTTTGCAAGTGCTAATCGATGAATAAATTACCGGCGGGAGCTTTATCAAATAATCAATTAATTGAGATGGTTTTCTTTTTTTTTCGATCAGAGGTTTTCACCATTAAATGGTCCTCTCAAGTGTGAACATTGACATAGAAAAAAGCAGACAGAAAAAAACAATAACCGAGAAAAATAAACCAGTGTACATAAATGTAGGCGAGAAATAATTCCTTTTTTGCGTAGTTCATAATCATTCTCTCAACTCAAAATCGACCTTGTTCACAAATCACAGAAAAACTAAGAAAAAAACCTGTTGAAGGAAAAAAATAAAACTAGAGTAAAATAACAAACCCTTTCACAATAGCGATTTACCATAACAAATCCAATGGATAATGTTTTAGAAATTTTATATATATTCCATTCAGCCAAAAACTCTATGTGTGGAACGAGAGAAAAACAGATGAAGATGAAACAAATTTTAGATTTTAAGTAAATGAGAAGAAGAAGAATCATAGGTATAATATGCATAGGAGTCTAAGATGAATTCAACCATATCCGTGCTGATAATTAAATGTAAAACCTAATGTAACAGAAAGTAAAAACAAAAGAAAAAGGGAAAAATTGCGGCAAAATTGAAAAACTTGAAAAATTCGAGACTTGAAAAATTCGAGAGTCAGTTTCAGGTCTGGCCGCCACACATACACACTCGATGGACGATGGATAACTACAGGCTCAATTACAGCCGAAAGAAGAACAAATAGTATTTTATTTTGAAATTCTGCTATCGTTGCCGGATGGTAACATTTAGATAAACAAATTCAAGAAGTGTGTTAGTCCAGTCTCTGGGATTCACTATTACAATCAAACCAACCATAGTCACAACCAATTGAATTTCGTATCCAATTGAGATTTGTGTTCAACCAATTCTAATTTATTCCGTGTTTTTATTGCTATAATTGCAAAACCCTCTAAAAGATATTGTCATTATTTTGAATGATGACGGAAAATTTAGATTTTGTATAACAAATGATGTACGAGATGTGTGTGTGAGAGAGAAAAAAATTGGTGGACGTACGTGGCATATGGCATATAATTTCGTACAATTTCCCTTGTCGATGTGTATATTCAAGGCTTGAATTTCGAGCCATCCGCGACCCAATCTACCGCCCCCCCTAAAATCAATCTCGACCATTCGCTGTGTATTGTATAATTTAAATAGCGTTTCAACGTGTAATTTTAATAGTAAATTGTAAGGAGTTCAAACAAAAACACACACACACATAACTAAGCAAACTTATACCAAAATTCCCCAATGCATGTACCCGCGTCGCATAGCAGAACAGGATGATTATTTTGATGTGTGAATAATTGATAACAAAAAAGAAACAAATGATGCAAACATATATATTTATTTATGTACACCAGTCTGAGAGGCTCTCTGAGCCCGGTCGGGCACCATTTAAAGAAATCAAAGCTAAGGAGCTAACCAAAAGCCCTACACATATCTTCCTATCCGAATTAGAAGACGAAGAAGAAACACATTCAGTGGCCGTATCAACAGTTGTCATTGACAACTTGTCAACAGGATTGCTACACATACACACAAATTGTTCAATATCACAGCCATTTGACTCAGCTTACGATACACGAAAAATCATGCACGGTTTTTAGTAGTCAACTTTCCCAATCAATTACAACAAAACAAACCTAGTTTTTTGCCCTCAAATTAAACAAAACTGAAAAGAAAAAAAAAATAAACAAAGAACAACTCTTATTACAACCTAAGTGTATATCATTGGGAAGAGAGAATTTACAAATCTCAATCATTCTACTATTATTACTCTTTCGACTAAGTTAATGAATATATCAATATTATATCCATTTCACTCAGACACACAAAAAAACACACACTAATAAACATGTATTTTATGTATTTTTTGCGGAAGATCAAACGGACTTTTTGTTCATTGGGTTTTTTTATTTATGAAGCAAGAATTTTTAGCGGTTGTTTCAACACTTTAGTGACAAAACGCACCAAAACTCGAAACTCATCAATGAGATTCAATCAACTCGGTTTCAACTCAATTGAGATGATCTCAACATGTTGATTTGGCTGAAGGTGGCTTATTATACGTAAGTATTGAGGAAAATCTTCTAAATTGCATCGACACAATCCTTATAAACGAGACGGACTGAGCTGAAGAAAAATTCAATTTCAGTAATAGCTCATCGGCCATAAGCCATTAATCCAATAAAAAGAAAAGTCAGTTAAAATGAGAAAACACAGGTTCCATTGCGATGCAAAAACCAAAAAGGAAAAAGCCTGCAAGCTGGAAAGGAAGTAGCTCTTTTTAGAAAAAAACTTATTTTCAGTAAAATTACCACCTCAATTTTCAGTAAATTCAGTTTAAAAAAGTCCAGAATGAAGAAGAGATCAAATAATTTTAACGTTGTTTCCATTTAAAACCCTTTTTACTTTCACGAGATGGCATTGCTTCAGCACATATTCACATCTGCTCGCATAGTTGTGTCCATTAATTTGATGTCAGTGGCGTCACCTCTGTGCAATTGCTCGAATCAAGCCTGCCAATTCCTTCACTTGGTACACGATATCTATGCATGACGGAGCGAAGAAAAACAGATACAGAGCTCAGAGGGGATATTTTTTTTCTTCTTCTATGTCGTATTATGTTTTTTTCCCTACTGTATACGGCTGCTTGTAACTTGACAGTCGTGCATAGCGAATCGAGCGTGAAAAACATGATCGTATCGATTGTTTTATAATATTTTAATAAAATATACAAATAATCCACAATTTCAAATGGGAATCGTATAAAATTGCATTGGACCAAAGGGCATTTTAATTTAGTAGGAAAATCAACAGACTCAGTGCATTTCGCGAGCAAAAACACGCATATACATCAGAACTAAAAAAATAAAAATGAGCAGTCGCTATTCGGATGACAAGCGTAAGATTGAATGTTTTGTTTGCTTTGGTTATCTTTTGTAAAATCAAATCAGTTGTTGTTGTAGCATTGATTAGCATCGGAAGATTTATACTAATTTTGTTGTTGACTCCGTTTAGGCACGCATCATCACTATCGTGAAGAATATCGTGATGAAAAGGACAGGCATCGAAGTTCCTTTGATAAAGACAAGCATTATGAACAGAAAACTCGTTCGAGATCGCGTTCTCGTTCCCGGTCTCGGTCGCCCGACCATCGACACAGGCACAGCACTTTGACGTCGTCATCGTCATCGTCGTCCACGTCGTCGAGCAACCACCGAAACAGCCATCACAGGAACATAAACAGCGGCCGAAACGGTTTGTCATCGGTTTATGGTCGCAATGACGAACATAAATCGAGAGGTAAAAACACATTCATTTCCACCAAATGACCAAAAAAAAACTGATGGATTTAGTACTTTTAAATTAAACCAAACAAAAATGACGATGTTCATTGGAATTTCCGTTCTGCATGGAACCATCATCAGATGCCGATGAATTGATTTGTCCACCGCCGCCAGTCATATCGAAGGTCTCATTGTCAATTGGAAAATCAAATAAACCAGCCAAGGTAATGTCGAACCAATTTTGAAATTGTACAATCATTTCCGCAAATCACGTGGATAAACCACTACAAACACAATTAGCTGAATCCACAAAACAAATTGTCTGCAATGTGAATTTAATGTGTATTTTCGAAATGTGTGTTGCAGCCAGTACAAATGAAACTAGCGGCACCAAAACCCATTGAACCTGTGAAAAAGTTAACAGTCGCCTCAGCATTTAGCAATAATGACAGCAGCGATGATGACGACGAAGAGGAAGCGCCAGTCAAATATTCGCGCAACATTGGACGGTAATTTGATTCGAAGCATGCTACAAACTACGCCCTTTTGTCGAAATAACCAAATGCAACATAATTAATTTTCTTTTTTTTTCTTGGTCAGTGATACGCCGACTTCATCGGGTCCAAATTCATTTGGTAAAACCAAACATGGATTTTGCGATCAGAAGTAAGATATTTTTTTTCTTATTTTGGGGAACCAGATACAAAAATTCATTTGTTATTTCTTTTTGTTTACAGGAAAATCTTCGAGAAGTCGCTGCGTCAGTTTCATGATTAGAATATAACACATATTTCTATAATAGTTTTAAAAAACGAACCCGTTATACGTTTTGTTTCTCTCACTAGCTAAAGAACGAAAAATAAACAAATAATCAACTAGTGATGGAATATAGACCAAATTTACCGTCGGGACACAAACATTTTTTCCCCATTCTCTCTACCATCCTTCTTCTTTTCTGAAACGAAACGATTTTGATTTCAATTCAAACGAAAGACAGACAAATCAAAACGACAACATAGAATTATTTTCTTCCATTTGTATCTTTAATGCATAGAAATTGTCAAGATTTAACCAAGGAAATTGAATTGATTTCGAGAAAATCGTATTCAATATTTTAATTGTTCGGAGCAATAAAAGAAAAAAATACACAGTTGAGATGGCATTATTTATTCATTGCATTCAATCAATGCTGTTGGTATGAAATGCATATGGTCTTGATGCATTTTTTTTTTCACATCGACACAAACGGTTTAAAAACAAAATGATGACGCCTCCAATACTTACGTGTATATTTTGCTTGAATAGAAAGGACAACAGTCATATAGAATTCGCAAAAGAATCAACTCATCGTTTGTTAATTCAATTCTTTGCCAAACAGTTCTTGACACAGAAAATTTGCAATCATCAAATGCACATAAGAAAATAAGTGTAGCGACATATAGTCGACAGAGGCTCATGCAAAAATGGATTAGCTACAATTGAATGAAACAATGCGTTTTTTGCCATTCACATCTTCCTTGAATCACATAGCTGTAGCTATTTTTCCCATCTTCATTCCTTCTGCAATCCATGCACATTCAACACCAGATGTCGCTCAATTCAAATGGATATGAAGACATACGATCGCTATTTATTTCAAATAATAATCGAGTAAAAAAATAGTTCTAACTCAGTGAATAAATGATTTCGAGAATTCCGTTTAAAATTTTTGTGAAAAATTGTGCCTCGATTTTCTTGGTCGTTTTTTTTTTCAAATTAAATTTTCCATAAATTCTACACTTCAGCTGATGCAAGAATTATCCAAGAGTTTCTTGATTATTTCTCTTCTACTCTCACTCAGTATCGGGAGACCGTCTGATGGGAAGTTTGTATGAAAACCTTGGTTTGGCACTAGAATTACATATGACCAAAACTCGGATTTCTGTTATTCAACGAACAACATATACTGTGTATATACAAAGTTTATTCATATACTGATATTTTCCACCAAGATTCTGCAAATGTTCTTCAAATATTAATTTCACATGGATATTAAAATATTCAGATTGAATGATATCTTTTGTTTACAAAGAATTTACTCCACAAGCATTTGATAACAACAATATTTTTAAATTTTCTCTCTCGCTAGATGGCACTTCAAATTGAAAATAGGCTGATATTGTATCAAGCCTATTTTCAATTTGAAGTAGATATTTTCATTGCATTATTGTGTGCACGTGTGAGTGTGAGTGTGTGTATATTCAGAAGTAGCTATGTCTCATTAAAAACAGACCTCATAATATATCCTTATGAATTGAATTTTTGTATTGATTTTAGTAAATTAAATATCAAATTTAACAAATTGAAATTGTGCAGAATAGTTAACAATAGTAACATAGTTCACAATTCAGTAGCTGAATTCTGTGAACTGAATTGTTCATTTTGTTTTTAAAAATGTGAATGTTAGTGCTTGAGCAACGGCATTTTATTTTTTCAAATCTTGATGCGAGATTTTATTGAATAGAATAAATATATTTGCACTACCAAGAACACGAACCTATAGATATACCCATTTTCACAGTGAACAAATGGATCCTCCCGCACATGATTCACCAAAAAATCTTCTGAATGTCCTGATCGATGACTGTATCGACGAAATCTTTCGTCGCATACTTTGTTTAGAAGATTATCTCAACATGTCGGAAGTTTGTCAACGATTTCAAAAAAGCGCAAAAAACTGTTTCCGAGCGCAGTTCAAATTTGTATATTTGAATGAAATGCAGTGGCAAGAGCCTAAGAAATCAGTACCTTCGACACGGGCAATTGCACTTCTGAATACGTTTGGACCATCAATTCAAGGATTGCAATTCCAAACTACAGCACATCAAGAGCATAATGATGAAATATTTGAATCAATTGTAAAATTCACCGGCAAAACATTGAAAAAATTACATATTGACTGCCACACCATGTGTCACACCATAGATTTCGAACAAATGCCATTTCCTGCTTTGGAAATTTTGTATTTAGATTCAGCTTTACCGAAAAACTTCGAACAGGTCTCACTTTTGAAAGGATTAAGCATATCACATATAGATCCAAGATGTACGAATTATATACGAAAATTTCCACGATTGGAATGGCTTGAAATCATAGAGACTCCACGTGTAAGTGGACCAAATTATATAACGGACGAAATGTTTTGTGAATTCGTTTCGCTAAATCCTCAATTGCAATGTTTAACTTTGAGTTTTTGCTCTGATTTGACCCCATTAATATTGCGAGCCATTGGTGCCAAATTAATGGACCTTGTCGAATTGAGTTTCAAACATTTGCGGTTAAGACGCACTAAAAGTATCTTAAATCCAAATCTACCACATTTGGGCGCATTAAATCAGCTCAAATATCTTGAGATACAATTGAAAACTACGATCTCGTTTAAAATAATGATTAATGTTTTTGCTGAAAATGAGGTACCAGTCGAAACGATAGTAGTCGATTTATTTATTGTAGAAGACCAGCCAATCGATTCATGTTCTGATTTGAAGACTATAAAAACATTGAAACATGTAGATATTACTGGCTAGGGGACTCACGCCAATTTCCATATTTAAAATATGAACAAATAATATGAATTTGTTTATGTTTCAACATATTAAACAGATATGTATGCATAATTTCAATTTTGCTCAATTTTGTTCAATAAACCGACTGTCAGCAGAACCATGTCCAATCTGTTGTCGTCATTATCGCTTCAAAAATTCTGGAAATGGGTTTTGGTGGATCCTGTGGATTGTTCAAAACCGCTCCTGGTTCTGGAAGTGGATCCTCAGGATGGGCCAGGGCATTGTCAAACCCAGTCTGATCCATCCTGAAGATCCACCAAAACCCACTTCCAGAACCGGGAGCAGTTTTGAACGATCCTGAGGATCCACCAAAACCCACTTCCAGAACATATTGTTCAAGGTGAATATGAACAATAACAACGCATTCGGGAAATAATACAAAATATTTGAAATCTAGCGTGAATTTTACATGATTTAAATAATACAAATAGATTTTGCTAAATAAAATTTGGCATGAATCCCCTAGATTACTGGAATAGAAAACAGAAATTTGTTCAACGAAAACGAAATGCTAGCTAATTTGATTAAAACACAAACTGCGTTAGAGACGATCGAGATGATGTGTTGCGATGAAAACCCTATGCCAATCCTAAACATTGGAAATATGTTGAAATATGGTGGAAATTTAAGGAAATTCGAACTTTATACTGGAATATTAGACTTTAATTTAGAAAGCTATGAATCAGTTTTGTGTTTGGTCAGAAATCGTACCCGAGTTGAAATTATACTTGGAAATGAAAAGAGCAAGTGTATTCCAGAGGGTGTTGTAACGAACAATGAATGGTTAGAGGTTCGATACGGCAGAGGCTCGGACAAACGAGGAGCATGTATTCACGTAGATGATAATTATTTTGATACTGTAAAATCTATTTAAATAAATGGTTCTTCGAAATGAGATTTCTTGGTTTTATTGAAGAAAAGAAAAACGATACAACTACATCACTGAATTTGGATCACTAATACCATTTCCCATCCACGAACAGATCTGCATTTTCTATTGTATATACTTGTAAAGGATTTTATTCAGCTAATTTGGCTCGGGCGATATTTGAGGCAATGAAATCTGTCAAGTCCTGATAACCTAATGACTGTTTGATCCAAGAATCGTCTCATGAGTTTATAGCTTATAAGGTGTAGTTTCCTTTCGCCAAAAAATGTCGAGTCGAAAAAGATCAAGATGAAAATTGAACGAAGATTTATTTTTTTTGAAACCAATGGGTCTGAATTTATTTTTAGAAAAGATTAGACAGCAAATGAGAGTGGTATTATGTTAAGAAATATATTCATTGTAATTTGGTCCATCGAATTTTCAAAAACATAGCATAGAAGTTGTACCTATTAGGTACTACCTAAGCCATTTATCGAACGCTTTTCATCAAATCTATTGACTAGATCGAGAGGAGAGTATGTGAAAAAATTCTAATATATTTTGAAAGAGGAGAGTATGATTTCTGTTGATTCTATCTGCGTTAAAAGGAAGTATGTTAGCATCCCGTCTAGCCTCCGCGGTTTTTCACGGTTTTCGCGGAACTGATAAAAGATAACAACATGGTGTCTTCGGCAAAGTTGTAGTACTCGAGGTTTTCTATAACATTGCTGAAGATATCTATCTCTTATCTCTTATCAGTTGCGCGCAAATCGCGCACATAAAAAAGCAAATTTTATATAGAACTTTTTTTTTCTTTTTTCGCACTTTTCGCGGAACTGATAAGTGATAAGAGATATTTGACTTCAGCAATGTTATAGAAGACCTCGAGTGCTACAACTTTGCCGAAGACACCAAGTTGTTATCCCTTAGCAGTTCCGCGGAAACCGTGGAAAACCACGAGGACCCGCCAAAAATGAACATACTCGCCTTTAACCATTTTTGAGTCGAAAGAAACTTACTCTTCTCTTTCATAACAAAGTCAGATGAACTTACTCTCCTCTCGATCTAGTCAATAGAAATATTCTTCAAACTATAAACAACGAAGTCTATTTTCGATCTGAAGCAGCTGTTTCCACTACATCAACTGGAGTTGAAACAATTATTTGACTTTGGGCATGTGTGCGTGTTTATGATCGATCAAAAGAAATCTTCATAACATTTTCTCTCTTTTGTTTTTTAACATAGCTGTTGTTTGTGTATTGTTCATAGAAAAAAACAAATTAAAACTCTGCGTAACAAAGCTTTGCCGTAAAATTTAAAAACAATTTTATTTATTGTGAGTTTTTAATTCAAAGGATACAAGATATTGGCTGAATTTTGCGAACAATTTAGTGTGACTGTCTTAACCCAGGTTTTAACAATGGCATTTCATTGTTTTCAAATCACGATTGAAGATTTGGTTCATCTGAACTACCAAAACTAAAACTTATACATGAAATATCATTTATTTTTTTACAGAGAAAACATAGATCCATGAATTCCATTCTTATGTAAACCCATACACAGTTTCTTATAATACTGCTTCTTTTTCTTCACACTGTCGTACACAAAGGGCGCGGCCATATTGAAAATGTATACAGTGTATTGAGTGCCATTTGTGAGTGTATTGAGTGCCATTTG